GCGGTGACATTGGCAGATAAATGCGCGCTGATATTAGCGGTCGCATTTAGCGATCATAATGATTTCTGAGGATCCCAGAAGAATTCCTGAAGGGTTCATGGGAGATATTTCGGATTCCTGGGGATTGCTCAAGCCAGTATGATTGGTGAGGATTCTTGAAGGATTCGTGAAGAATTTGTGAGGATTCTGGTTCCTGCCAGAGTCGTCAGGATTCGTGAGGATTCCGGAGGTTTTCTGAATTTTGCCATGAGATTTTTTAGCTGTTTTGAGGATTCCTGAGGATTGTTGATGATTTTAGAAGGTTCTGAATGATTCCAGAATGATTCCCGAACATTTCTTTAGGATTCCTGCCGATTCCTAAACACATCTTGAATGTTCCTGCTGGCTTCCTGAAGGATTTCTGTCGGTCCCTGGAGGGTTCCAGAAGATTCGACGCTTCGCGGATCCCCACCATTGACAGCAGAAGCCCGCAGGCACGGGCGAGCAGCGGCACAGGACCCCTGGGCAGGCGCCATTGGATCGGGTACCCCCGATCAATGGCGAGGCTGGCAGGGATGGTCCTCATGGGGACGTCGCGACACCCCATGGACGGGCTCCGAATGGAAAGGAGGAGGCAAACGATACTCTCCGCGCGAGACCACCGCGACTCTGAAAAACGAGGCCGCTGGTGGGCCAAGAGCGACTCCGCAGCCTAAGGGTGACTCGTTCCCGCCATCGGGCGGCAGGCCGTGGCGATCCTCACCGCTCAGATACACGCGCCACCTCAGCAACGTCTCCGGGCCTTCTCCACCACATCCCGCCATCCTTGGCCCCGACTGGGCCCGTTTCACCTCGCTGCGCCCGGCCCAGGCCGTAATACCTGGGGCCGCCCTCCGCTGGGGCGGGGGCTCCCCCCCTTCTCCCTGGCGCAGCTTAGCTAGACAGCCTTCGCTGGTTAGAGGCGCGTGGGCAGCGCACCCCCCGTCGCCCACCCGCTACCCTTTCGGGCGCGCCGTCGGGGCTATCCCCCCTCGGGCGCCCGACACATCTCACCCCCACTTGCACCCCTAGGCCACGACTGGCTCACGTCTGTAGAGGCCTTGGCCACCCTGGAAACGGCTGCCCTAAGATGGCAGACGGCCCCCGCGGCACCCTGGACTGGAGAAGAGCCGTCCCAGCTACACCTCCCTCCAGTCTGGATGCAGACACGGGTAAGGCCCAGCGTGGGTCTCAGTTTTGGCGCGCCGCAGGCGCAGGGTTGGACCAGCCCGCCACTGGGACAGGGCGGCCGCGTAGCAAGGGAAGTCAGCCCCGTACCGTTGCAGTCGTGCACTCTGTTGCGGAGAGACGAGGCAGCTGTTAAGAGGCTGGCCTCTCGCGTTGCGACAGGTGCGGCCCCCCTGGACCATCTCATCCCTGAGCAGCCGTTAGCTGCACCCCTGATATCCCCGGCGCGCTGGCAGGCGCTGCACGGCTTGCATTGCTGGCGGGCCGACGGTACCGTTCGCATTATACCCATTGCAGGCTTCGCCTGCCCTGGGAATGCACCGCCCTCCTCTCCCAACCCTGAGCAGCCGTTAGCTGCATCCCTGGATCTCGTACCCGGGCTTCGGCCCTCCCCAGATCTACTTCGCCTGGTGTCCGTGGTGTGCCCCTCCGCCGGGAGGGCCAGTGATGTCTGTCCCCACCGGCCCTCCACTCGGATCCCTCCCAGACAGGGTGGGCTGCCGGGTTCACGTACCCCTGGATCGATGGGGTGGTCGTTCTCTGTGCAGCTCCTCCCTGGATTCTCTTGCCTAGCTGGCGATGTTCATCCCCGCCAGCCTGGCCGGTCACACTCAGTGCGACGTTCACAACGCCGTGACAGCGGGTGACTGGGGCCAGGCCCTCAGGGTTCACCCAGGGCCAGCGCCCCACGTGCTCGGGTTGGTGGGCCTTGGGAGCCATGTGGTCGCTTCGGAGTGGTTCAGCCTTCCAGCAGACGCAGCGCTTCCCCTGGAATCATTCCAGCCTTTCAGGCAGGTTTTCGACGTCACCTCGGCAGCCCAGCCCAGCTAGCTAGCACACACCGTTGGTACGGGGCGCCCCTGTGGCGACTCGTTCATCGTTCACCTCGCCTGTGCGACCTCCAGACGTGTGAGCTTGTAGGCCTCTACGCGTACGTCCTCGCGCTCTCTGAGTGGTTCACGCCGCACGGCGTACACAGAATTCCTCGCATTTTGCCAGTCTGCACGTTGCCCGAGCTTCCCTGGGTGCCCTCAGCCTGTCAGCTTCACTGCGCGGCACAGCAGCTGCTTTGTGAGCTGGCCCGGCCGGCCTGCGGCGCGCCCAGTAGCTAATTAGGCCTGTTTCCGCGCCCCGGACAGCTTCTGACTCCGCCTGCGCCTTCGCTCGCGGACGCGACCGAAAAAGTATCCCCACCAGTGGTTTGGCTCGTAGCCCGGTCTGACTTCGGACGCCGCCAGTGCTTTCGCTTGCGGCCGCGACGGAAAAGTATCCCCACCAGCCCATCTAGAAACGATGCCAGGCGAGTTGCCTTGATCAGGGCGGTGGAGGAGCATGCAGTGGATCAAGAGCTGGGGAAGCCATCGAGCTGAATCAGCCTGCGCAGACCCAGGAGCAAACCGGATGCGCCTTCGCGGACCTGCCGAATAAGGAAAAGAGTGGAACAAAAACGACAGGGATGAGGGAGAGGATGATAAGTAGGAGGAGAAGTAGGAGTAGGAGTATGAGTATGAGTATGAATAGGAGTAGGAGTAGGAGTAGGAGTAGGAGTAGGAGTAGGAGTAGGAGTAGGAGGAGGAGTAGGAGGAGGAGGAGGAGGAGGAGGAGGAGGAGAGGAGGAGGAGGAGGAGGAGGAGGAGGAGGGGGAGGAGGAGGAGGAGGAGGAGGAGGAGGAGGAGGAGGAGGAGGAGGGGGAGGAGGAGGAGGAGCAGGAGGAGGAGGGGGACGAGGAGGAGGAGGAGGAGGAGCAGGAGGAGGAGGCATATGAGGAGGAGGAAAACGGGAAGGGGAAATGGCGAGTTTGACGGCCTATTGGCGCGTCATTGGGGCCTCTTGGCGGTCCCGGGCCTCTCCTAGAGCGTCTTGGCTGCCTTGGGGAGCCTCTTGGGAGTCTCTTGGGAGCCTCTTGGAAGCCTCTTGGGCGCTTCTTGGGCCATGAGCACCTCTTGGGGGCCTTTTGTGGCGCTCTTGGGAGCCTTCGGGGGCGGTCTTGAGGCCATCTTGGAGAAGATCGATCAAACAAGGGGGGGATATTCAATTAGCGTTCCCCCTCGGGAACCCCAGAAACCACCTTTTGGACTCCACTTGGAGCGCTCTTTGAGCGCTCTTGGGGCGGTCATGGGGCTCTGTAGGGCCTCTCTTAGGGCCCTCTTAAGCCCCCTTGGAGCCATCTTGAGGCCTCGGAAGGCCATCGCAAGTAAGAAGGCGAGAAGGCAGAATTCATGCATTTCCCCAGATTTTATTAAAACAGATTTTGGCTTCTCGGGGGCCTCCGTGGGAGGCTCCGTGGCTATTTGGAGCCGTCTTGGAGCGGTCTTGGGGCCTCTTGGAGCATCTTGGGAACCATCTGGGGCCATCTTGGGCTATCTTGAGCCATCTTGGAGGTCATCTTTGGGCTCTCTGAGGCGCTCTTGGAGACGTCATGGACCATGTTGGACGCTCCAACTACCCGCGGCACCCCCCGTCCAGGTCCAGGAGAGGTGGTAACGGGGGAGGGGTAAACCACTGGCCGAAGGGGAAGAGGGAGGGATGGAAGGAAGAGGAAACGCGTTAGATCACCTACGCCCAGAGGGCTGGTGAGATTTTGAGGAGTACTGCAGAGTCCGGAATGATTCCCGAAACATTCCTGGGGATTCTGAAGGAATCCTAGGGATTTCGTCAGATTCTGGAGGATTTCATACTGATTCCTGGACGGTTTCAGAGGATTCCTGCTGTTTTCTCATTTTCCTGAGGGACTATTCTATTTTCTAGGATTTCGGAAGAATTCGCGAGGATTCCAGAATGAATCCTTAAGGGTTCCTGTTTTTTTTTGTTGCCGATTCCTGCCGAGTCTAGACGGATTCCTGAAGACTCCTGCAGGATTCCTGGAGTATTCGTTTGAATCCCAGTGGGTTTCGGAGGGTTCGCTGGTCCCACCGCCCCCTAGGAATTATTAAAGTAGTTGGGGTGCTCACGATATCGCTCGACTGCTTCCCCCTCCGAAACTATTTCATTATTTTGGATGCGGCGGGGAACGGGGGGAGATCGAGACTGGGTTCCCCCGATTCATGTTTCGGGGGAGGCCCGCGCGAGCCTCCGACAGTTTAGGTTCATGCAGTTGGTGCTGCTCTGTTTCAGGCCCTGCGGCCATCAGAAACTGCTCGGAGGTCTGCAAAAAAACCCAGGGTTTTTTTGCAATCCAGGGTTTTTTTGCAATCCTGCCGACGTCCGACAGCGCCGAGCAACCACCGTCCGATCCGCGAGGGCTGGCGCGCCCAGACGACCTCGGCGCGCTCTCGCTTGGGCATTGTCGGCGGCGCCCCAGAAAGGGGAGAGGCCCATCCGGGATTGTCGACGGCACCAGTGATGACGACGGCGACGGCGACGACGTCGATTTTCGCTAACTGACCATCGTCGGAGGAATTGCAATTCTTTCTTTGCAATCCAGGGTTTTTTTGCAATCCTTCGGGTGCCCCCCTCCCGCCGGGGGGGGCCGGAAGCGGCCGAGGGCTCCGCGCCCCGTGCGGCGCCGCCCTGGGCGGAGATCTCATCGTCGGTCGTCGGTCGTCTGGCCGTCGGTCGAACGGTCGTCGTTCGTCGGTCGTCGTTCGTCGGTCGTCGTTCGTCGGTCGTCTGTCTTCGGTCGTCGCCATTCGTCGGTCCTGGGTCGTCGTTTGTCGATCGTGTGGTCGTGGGTCGTCGGTCGTTCGGTCGTCCTGCGGCCGTCGGCCGTCGCTCGTCGGCCGTCGCGAGCCGTCGCGAGCCGTTGCTCGGCCGCCGGTCGTTCGTCGGCAGCCCACGGGCCGCCGCCGCACGAGGGCAGTCCCAGGGCGGCATACGCCAGCAGCAGGAGGCCGCTCGCCGCACTCCCGCCTGGGCGGGGCCCTGCTCGCCGCCGCCGCCGTCGCCGTTGCCGTCGTCGTTTCGCCGCCGCGGCCGCCGTCGTCGCCGTCGCCGCCGCCGCCGCCGCCGCCGCCGCCGCCGCCGTCGTCGTCGTCGTCGTCGTCGTCGTCGTCGTCGTCGTCGCCGTCGTCGTTTTCTCCCCATCCTCGCTCCTTCGCCTTTTCTCCTCGCTCCTTCGCTTTTTCTCTTCCCCCTCCGACTCCGCCCCGACCTCGTGCTCCTCAGGTTCCTCCTGCTTCATGTTGTTGTCGTCGTCGTCCTCCTCCTCCTCCTCCTCCTCCTCCTCCTCCTCCACCTGGACCCATGAGTTTGGGAGGCTTGGGAGGTCTTGATCGGTATGGCCCAAATTGTGGCCCGCATGATGGGTGCTGTTTTCTCTCTCTCTCTCTCTCTCTCTGTCTTTTTCCTTCTTGTCGGTTTCCCAAAACACCCAGGGTCCCGCGTCCGCGACATGTTGGCGCTGATCGGTGGCATGCGTGGAGTGTGGTTCCTCGGCCCCCCAAGGATTTTCAGCTTCCACAAATGCCATGCCAGAGCAACACTTGTGCTGCTAAACTTAGTATGTCGGGGTGCCCAGGGACGCGACCTACTTTCGCCTTTCTCTCGGCTCCTCCCCATTTGGATGGCCACACGCTCGTATGCTGTCGCGTCAACGGTGGCCTCAAGTGTTCACAGTTGGAACCGCAACAGCCGACAGCTGGAGAAGATGTGCCGAGGCTGTACATATTTGAAAGGGCGCGCTTGTGGCGCACTTCTCATTGAAAGGGGGGCCCCAGCCTCAAGCTACCCTTCCTTCCGTTGGAAAAGGGGTCCGAAGCTACCCCCGCCCACCTCCTTTTGTGGATATTTCGGAGCCCAAGCTAAAGTGGGGGGGGGGCTTGGAAGCTACCACCCCCTTCTATTCGGGGCCAAAGGTCAGCCAGGCCTTCCCTTTCAAAGGGAGGGAGGGGCTTCGGAAGCTAGCTACCGTTTATTTCGCAGCTGAGACTGCCGTG